CAAAAATAAATAAACTTTGAAAAAAAAAAATTAAAAAAAAAAAATAAAAGTCTTTGGGGCCTGTGTGTCTCTGCTCAAAGCTCTCCAGTGGCCGTTTCCTGTTTCACTCAAAATGAAATCCAAAGACCATACCGTGGCCTACAGGGTCCTGCCAGCTTGGGCTGCCTTGTGTCACTGTCCTCGTCATCACTCTGTTCCAGCCACATTGACCAGCTTTGTACCACTGGAAATGAGCTTTCCCCAAACCTCCTCAGGCCAACCTCCCTCACTTCAAGTCTCTGCTCAGATGTCACTTTATTTAAAATAGCGGCCACTGCTGACCCTGTATTACTGTTGGTCACCTTACCCTACTTGATATCTTTCTGAGCAAACATCATTCCCTTCCCTGTATTTACTTCTTCTTGTCTGTTTCCCACCCCCACAGACACCCAGACTAGAGTGTCCACTGCAGAAAATCAAGGACTTTGTCTGTTCTGATGCTGCTACATTCCCTGCACCTAGAACAGGGCCTCATACCTGGTAGGGGCTCAATAAATATTTGTGGAAAGATAGCACTTTTGACTATTAAAATTTGTTTTTTCTTGACCGTAGTCCATGATGATTGAAAGTGCTGTATATCAGGCTTATGATTAGAATACTTTTCTGTATATAAGGTTGGCCCAAATGATGTTGGCTGGTGGGAAAATGCAAGAAAAGGAAAACGCACAGGAGAGGGCGTGAGTTGAAAAAAGTGAAGATTACTGGCTTTTCCCAACATACCTAAACCTGAGGTTGATAAGGGAAGGGCAAAGGAGAAAGTGGGACTGATGGATTCTAAATGTCACATTGGACCCCACAGTAGGGAGGGCATCCTGACAATGTTATAAAAAAAAAGTGATCTTTCAAAAAAATTAGCAGGCATCTTAAGGCGAACGTTTAAGCATTTCTCGACTTGCGTGGGTGTGTGCTTGATACGAACGGGTCATTGTGTTTTCTGTTTTCTTCCTCACTGCCGAGCTAGTCAGCGCCTAGATAGGTGACATCTCACCAGTTAAGGCCTTCTTTTGTTTTGTTTTCCCAAAGGCAGAGTGGTGGGCATCCTTCAGAAGAACTGGCGGGATTACGTGGTGACATTTCCATCCAAAGAAGAGGTCCAATCTCAGGGCAAAAATGCTCAGAAAATCCTAGTTACGCCTTGGGATTACAGAATCCCCAAGATCCGAATTAGCACTCAGCAAGCAGAAACCCTCCAGGTAGCTGACATTGTACTTCTCCTGTTCCCCAGCTTTTGTGTTTGCCAGCTTTTGAGCTATCCCAGGAAACCCTGTCAATTCCTTTGCGTAAGAACGGATAAATTATTGGTGGCGTCTAGCATTTCGAGATCCTGGTGTTTTTTTTTAAATTCTAAATATATAGAACCATCTATTAAATAGTCCTTGGTTAATAAATGAAGGCCAGAGAGAAACTGCCCTAGAAAGAGCTGTGTAGGACAGCTACAGAGTGCATACATTATCCAGCTGTCCAACACAGAAACTTTCAATAGATATGCTTTGCCAACACTAACAAGCTTTCTTCCAGCAAGTGATATAGAAATACGATCACTCTGCCCTGGAGGGATGATATAGTGATACTTCACCGAATCGATTATCCATAAAGGAATACAGCACTGGGGAGAAGACATACACGAGAAAGTTAGAAATTAGCCTGTACTGTGGCGAAGCGTATAGGCATCGTCCAATTTGATATCTGCAATTTGATATGTGCAGTTTGTAAATGAGACACCAAAGCAGGACGTCCCCAGCCAGTAACTGGGTCGTCGTGTACCTTCTGCATCTCTTGAAGCCTTCCGCGGGCTCTCTGAGGCCAAGCGTAAGCACTGCTTTCCAGACCCGTGGGTTTGCTGAAATTTGAGAGCTTGTGGGGTTCAGTTCACGCTGATACCTCCTTCCCCACTAACAGATGTCTTTAAACATTAGAGAGTAACTTCAAAGAAAGTAGGATGTATCTCCCATGCTCCCACAATTGAGATTTTGTTTTGAAATTGAACTTGCACTATGCATACTGAGGTTTTCCTCTGTGTTGTGAACGTTGACTAGAATGTGTTACAATTGGCTTTCTTTTTTTTTTTTTAAGTTTATTTATTATATTTTGAGAGAGCCGCATGAGAGCAGGGGAGGGGCAGAGAGAGAGAATCAAGAAGTCTCCTCACTGCCAGTGCAGAGCCCAATGTGGGGCTCGATCCGACGAACTGTGAGATCATGACCTAAGCCAAAACCAAGAGTCAGACTCGTGTCTGAGCCACCCAGACACCCCACAATTGGCTTTCTTTAACAGAATAAAATTTCCAGCCTACTTATTTGATGGAGAGGTACTGCCTCCCTCCAAAGCATCGGGGCCAGGCCTTTACATAACCATCTGGCAATTTAGTAAAACAGCAAGAATGAAAACAAAACACAAAACCCACTGTTAAATCGGCCACTCTTTTTGGAGCTGGGTGCTGTTTATCTCTTGTTTGTTTGGTGCTTCTTATTGACCCACTTAATTCCCGGTGCTGGGCTAGTGGATTTTTTTTCTCTTTTTCGTGCAGGACTTCAGGGTAGTTGTGCGCATCGACTCCTGGGAGTCAACATCCGTGTATCCAAATGGACATTTTGTGCGTGTGTTAGGAAGAATCGGGGATCTGGAAGGGGAAATTGCAACCATCTTGGTGGAAAACAGTATTTCGGTGGTCCCTTTCTCCGAAGCTCAGGTCAGGTTTCCCCGAGTCCTTTGGTCTGGTGAGAGACATTCCGTACGGTTTCTTTTTGCATTTGTTCGTTGTTTGGTCATTAAGAAGAAAAATCGCTGTACTGGGTAACCACTCACGAAAGCCACAGATAATAATCTCACTCTTCTGTATTCTGTGTTTGGACCAGACTGAAGTCAGTTTCAAGCACATAGTTCATTTCCTAGGGCCTCACAGCTCTCAAAGTTTTACATTTTCCAACTGTGCTTAAAAATGGTATGTCAGTATCATATTGTCAGTACATATCTATCCCCAGCAGTCACGAGGGTCTCCAGTTACAGATCCTACTGGGCTCCACTCCCTGTCCTAATCATTCAACCAGAGACCTGCACAGAGCTGCGGGAGGCGGCTTCTTGAGTTCTATACATTTCTGACCCGTGGGTCAAAAAAGCATGCTCCTGAAACAGTTTCTGTAACCTTGGCAGAAAACACAAATTCAATACACATTAAACATTAGCTATTTCCATCGCTTTATGATCTCATAAAATCCTCATAAATCTTGTTTATTATTTTTGCATAACTATATTCATAGTGCGTCCATGCTATTTTCTGTTCTGTGTCTTTCACTTAAAATTATTTCTGTGTATTGCCATAGCTACTTTTTAGTAAAGGTTATGGCACTTGATTGTGTATTGATGTACTCTGGTTTGTTTAAGTCTTCCTCAATTCTGGGCCTTGGGCTGTTTAATTTTTCAGTAGTATAAAAAAAACTCTACTTCAAACAATTTTACAAACATTGCTCTTTTTTTTTCTTTTTCATCATTTTTCTTGAGATGTAATCCTTAAAGTAAGATTATCAAGTCAAAGGGCATTAAAAATTTAAGTGGCTTTTCTTATGTATCAGTAGATCGTTCTCGAGAAAAATTGGACCAGTTTGCATTGCCATCAAGAGTGGATGGGTGTTCTTATTTTCATTACAGTTTTTGACAGAACAGTAGCTATAATAGTAAAATATCTTGGAATATTTTACATTATTAAATTTTTATGTTTAACATTAGTTTCTTGAAATTATTTGTTGACTTGCTTTGACAGCTCTTAGTGAAAATGTTAGAATAAAATAAAGCATGGCTTAGACTTCATGGGACTAGAATTTTCTCTTCTCATTTAGCCTACTTAACTGCAAATTGATGGCCTAAACAAGTAATAATGGAGAGACAATGCCCTAGATTGGTCCTGCTTAAATTATCTTTAAGGAATAGGCTTTTAGTATTTGGGACACGTTGATTCTTTTTTTTCAGGGCTTGAATTGAATTAAAAGCTCAACTGCATTTAAACAAATGAATCATCTGAAAATGGGTAGAGGTTGTGCTCTTGATAAGCCTCTGTTTATCCTCGATCTGACCTCCATAACTAAAGAAGCTGCCGGAAACAGGCACATTTCCTGACAGACTGTAAGGGTCCGCAGGGGCAGGAGACTGTGTCTTTCTTCTTGGCTCCTGCCCTTTCCAGAGCCTCGCACAGTTCCTGACACACATGAGGCACCTGATAAATAATTCTTGATCCAAAGAAGCAAATGCAGGTTAATTGCAAAAGGTAATGGGGAATGAATGGGACTTCTAGGAGGTGGCAGTGAGACTCTTCGAGAGCCCAGAATCTCCTAGGAAACTCGGGGTGTGTGAACTGCCGAATATCTGACTCTTGTTGGACAGATGTGTGAGATGCCAGTAAACACACCAGGAAATCCCTGGAAGGTGAGTCCTGAAGAGGAACGAGAACGTCAAGACTTGAGGAAAACCCATCTTGTATTCAGCATCGACCCGAAAGGCTGTGAAGATGTGGATGACACACTCTCCGTCAGAACCTTAGATAATGGCCACTTGGAACTTGGGGTCCACATTGCAGATGTGACACACTTTGTGGCACCAAATTCGTATATTGACATCGAAGCCAGAACAAGGTAATGCTGTTTGAAATGAACACTATGATTATGTGTGTGTGGCTGTAACATATTCGTACCTCTCCACTCCTAGATTTTCAAAACGAACATTTCACAATTCTGTGCAATTCTGCAGATCCCTCCTAGGGGGAGAAAAATTGAGGTCCACTCCCCTTTCCCTTTAGAGAAATAGTACCTTGATCCATTTACCTTTCCTTTTTTTCAACAGAACCTTTCACACACTTTCCTCCTAAATTGCAATGAGCTAAATGTTTCAGGTAGGAATACCCTTTTATACGAATACTGGATCATTACACTCCAATTCTTCCTAGATAAGTAAGATTCATGCCACTTTTTCCTTTTCGTATCAGCGGAAGAACATTCAGCCCGAGGCAGTACCCCTTAGAAAAGTGGGGGCATGGGAATAGCTTTATTACCCAGTCGGCTGCACTTTATGAAAAAGCAACAGCCTTGGGGGATTTGCACTGAGGATTTGGCCATTTCCCTCCCCGCGGCCCCTGCAGTCAGCACTTCTGCCTCTCGCTGCTGAAGGTCACGCACCCGCACGTGTGTCGTTCACAGGGCCACCACTTATTATTTAGCAGACCGGCGCTATGACATGCTGCCCTCCACGCTCAGCGCCGATTTGTGCTCTCTTCTGGGAGGCGTTGATAGGTGAGTTTGTTCATAGTTTGTTGTGGTTTTTTTGTTTTTTTAATCTCCAGAGTTTGTCCTGGCTCTTCTGTGATGCCCGGTGCTCTTGCTTCTGGCCTTTCTCTTCTTTCTAATGTGCTCTACCCCCTGCTCCCCACCCCTCTTGTCCCCCTGTACCCTCCCGCACCCGCTTAGTTTTAGGCAGATTTATTCTCTAGCCTTCCCTTCCCTTCCTCTCATCTTTTCCGTTTATCTAGCTGTGAGGCGGCTTCTACCTCTGTTGTTGGCTTTTAAAACTCAGCTAAAGTCTGGGAAGAAACGCATACGACTGGGGCACCTGGGTGGCTCAGTCGGTTAAGAGTCCAACTTCGGCTCAGGTCATGATCTCGCAGTTTGTGAGTTTGAGCCCCATGTCGGGCTCTGTGCTGACAGCTCAGAGCCTGGAGCCTCCTTCGGAATCTGTGACTCCCTCTCTCTCTGTCCCCTCCCCGCTCATGCTCTGTCTCTCAAAAAATAAATGTTAAAAAAAAAAAGAAACGCATATGACTTTGCGCATACATATTCCCTGGTTGAGGCTATTTTGCATGACGATCATGAACTGTAGGGAGTTGTTTATCTGTTATAGTTAATGTTTATAGTTAATATAATGTCTTTGAATATGTAATAAAACCAAAATCCGTAGGTTCCAAAAGATATTTAATGAAAGGCTCCCTTCTACCATTTTCCCCCAGCTACCAATTTCTTCTGTGGTTTTCTAGATATAATGCACATACATGCAAATGTGGACGTGTGGTCTCTCTTCTGTGCACAAAGGGTGACATTGTGTGTGTGTATGTGTGATTTATATACACTGTTCAGCACCTTTTTTTTCTCTTAAAAATGTATCTTGGAGATCATTCCATATTAATAACAGTTGCTTATCTATGGACATTTGCATTGTTTTCAGTCTTGCTATTACAAACTGTACTGAATTACATGAAACATAAGTCATTTCACATTTTTAAAATTACAGTATCTGGAAGATAAATTTCTACAAGTGGAATTTCTGTGTCAAAGGGTATATGCATGTGTGTTTAGAGAGATGTAATCAAATTGCCCTCCTTAAAGGTTAAACCAATTATATTCCCACCATGACCGTGTGAGAATGCTTGTTTCCCTAAAGCCTTGCCAACACAATATGTTGTATTTTTTTTTATCTTTGCCGATCTTAATAGATGAAAATGGTATCTTAGGGGCGCATGGTGGCTCAGTTGATTAAGCATCTGACTTCAGGTCATGACCTCATGGTTTGGGAGTTTGAGCCCCGCATTGGACTCTCTGGGCCCACTTTGGATCCTCTGTCCCTTTCTCTCTGCCCCTCCACTGCTGGTTCTTTCTCTCAAAATAGGTAAATAAACTTTTAAGAAAAAGAAAGAAAATGATAGGTGGTTTTAACTTGCATTTTTCCTATTATGAGTACAGTTAAACATATTTGTGTATGTTTAACAGTCATTTACGTATTTTTTCTGTGAACTATTTAATGTTCCTTTCCCATTTTTTTTGAGTTCTTTATCTATTAGTAATTGATTTATAAGAATTCTTCACAGGGGCCCCCGGGTGGCTCAGTCGGTTAAGTGTCCGACTTCAGCTCAGGTCATGATCTCACAGTTTGTGAGTTCAAGCCCCACGTTGGGCTCTATGCTGACAGCTCAGAACCTGCTTCAGATTCTGTGTCTCCCTTTCTCTACCCCTCCCCCCCTCACACTCTGTCTCAAAATTAAACATCAAAAAAAAAATTAAAAAGAATTCTTTAAATATTAGGAAATTTAGCCTTTTGTTTTTTGTATGTTGCATGATTTTTTTTTTAAGTTTATTTTGAGAGAGAGAGACAGCGTGAGTGGGGGAGGGGCAAAGAGAGAAAGACCAAGAATCCCAAGCAGGCTCCACACTGTCAGCACAGAGCCCCAAGTGGGGCTTGAACTCAAGAAACCATGAGGTTATGACCTAAGTGGAAACCAAGGGTCGGACACTTAACTGATTGAGCCACCCAGGTGCCCCTATTGCATAGGTTTTTAAGTAGAGTGATTTGGTGGCAAAGCGGTTCTTTACTAAACCTGTCAAGATACATTTAAAGTCTAGTTCTACTTACCCCAAAAATGGAAGAATTGAGGGTACCTGGGTGGCTCCGTCGGTTAACCCTCTGACTTCCACTCAGATCATGATCTCACAGTTCATGGGTTCGAGCCCCGCATCTGGCTCTGTGCTGACAGGTCGGAGCCTGGAGCCTGCTTTGGATTCCGTGTCTCCCTCTCTCTGCCCCTCCCCCGCTCATGCTGTCTCTCAAAAGATAAACATTAAACACATTTTTTTATTAAAAAAAATGGAAGAATTGAATAATGATGTCAGCATTACTGGTTTTGTAGGTATGCTGTAAGTGTCATATGGGAATTGGATAAAACCTCCTATGAAATTAAGAAAGTGTGGTATGGCAGAACCATTATTCGATCAGCATACAAACTGTTCTATGAAGCAGCCCAGGAACTGCTGGACGGAAACTTCAACATTGTCGATGATATTCCAGAATTCAGAGACCTGGATGAGAAGACCAGACAAACCAGGCTAGAGGAGCTAGCGTGGGCCATTGGAAAGTTGACTGACATTGCACGCCACGTCCGAGCTAAACGGGACGGTTGTGGCGCCCTGGAACTGGAAGGGGTAGAGGTTCGTGTTCAGCTGGATGAGAAAAAGAACATTCATGACCTCATCCCCAAGCAGCCCCTGGAGGTCCATGAGACGGTGGCTGAATGCATGATCCTGGCCAACCACTGGGTAGCCAAGAAGATCTGGGAGAGCTTCCCGCATCAGGCCTTGTTACGCCAACACCCTCCTCCACACCAGGAGTTTTTTTCTGAACTGCGAGAATGTGCTAAAGCAAAAGGCTTCTTCATAGATACACGGTAATTCCTCTTTTGAGGGGGCAGAGGGAAGGGAGTACCGTGCACCGATTTTACTGTAGTTCTTAAAATGCGACAGCCAGATCTTTGCCCCAAAATAGAAAACTTGTTAGCTTTTTTTCATTTACTATACAATGTAGGTATAGAGATTAAAATTAAAACAAGTTTATTTAGGCATAATGTTGATCCACTACAATTCATAATGCAGAAGTAAGGAGCCTGGTTTAATTTCATCTGCCCCTTAGGCAAATACTAAGAAGTAATCCCATGTATTTCAGTACTTTAAAAATGCACCAGATCTTTGAGGCAATATCCTAAAACACCACACCAATGGTAAATTTATATCATCACTTCATAGAATGAGACATTTTTACTGCCCCCCTCCAGGATAAAAGATTTTCCCTTTTGAAAATGATGTATCGGGGCGCCTGCTGGGCCCAATCGGTAGAGCATGCAACTCTCGATCTCAAGGTCACGAGTTTAAGCCTGATGCTGGGTTTACTTCAAAACAAAAATAGCTAACGGCTAGATTAAAAAAAAAAAAAAAGATGTAAGATGTATAGAGGATTTTTTTTTCAACATTTTGTTTCAAGTAATAGATTAGTGCTAATTAAAATAGCATTTATCAAAATGATTTTTTTTTTTTTTTTTGCACCTATGTCTGTGATAGTATCTTTTGTTGGTTTGTTTGGTGGATGGGTGAGCTGTGTTTGGGGGCCAGGCATACTTGGTGTAAGTGCTTTCGGACATCTTGTGTCATTTGTAGTTTACCGATAGGGAATTACAGCTGCTGAGGGTAAGTGACTTACCTGTAGATCACCACTTAAGGAAGAATCTGGCTTTGAATCCACATCTGTCATACTTGAAGGCTCTCACTAGCCTGTACCCTCTTGATGCTCCTGTTTATCATTTTCCGCCTTTCTTCCCTCCGTTTCTTGGTGGGCTACCCTACAGAAGTGAATTATGTGCTACATTGTGAATTGCATTTTTTAATATAATTCTTTATTTCCTGGGTTTTAAAAATTATTTGGGTAAATAGAGTACTTCCTGTCTCTTTTTCTCTTTCTAAAAAAAGGAAAATAATTTAGGTTTCTTTTACTTGTACACCTCAGGTTTAGTTTAGTTTTGTTTTCTAACTCACTCTGGCTCCATAATTCTTGATTTTCAAAAAGTCCACCCTTTGATCTGTAAGGGATGTTTAAGGTTAAGAGTCTTAGGAATTCATTTCAAGAAGTATTTGATCACCTCCAATGTGCTGGGCATTAACTTAACCACATAGGTATCAGTACATTACTCTTAAAAAGTGTATTTAAATTGATATACTTGCTGTGTTTAAACCTTAAAAGCAAACTAGATTTCTGTAATTGAAAAGAGCTGCTTCTAAAACGTATCCAAAATAAACTTAGTTTCTTCTGAGTGACAAGTGAAGGATGTCCCACACAGTATTGACTTGTAAATTATCGCTTGAGACTAAATAAAAGTTTTTCCATTTTTTTGTCAGGTCCAATAAAACACTGGCTGATTCTCTGGATAACGCGAATGACCCCAACGATCCCATTGTAAACAGGTTGCTGCGATCGATGGCCACGCAGGCGATGTCTAATGCACTGTATTTCTCCACTGGGTCGTGTGCAGAGGAAGAGTTCCATCATTATGGTAAATGATAGCATTTTCTTTTGTGTGGCCATAACCTTGAGCGAGACATTTAAAAGTATGTCTTTTTGTTGATTTCCATCTTTTGGTTTCCTTTTGAAGGCCTTGCATTGGATAAATATACTCACTTTACTTCTCCAATAAGAAGATACTCAGATATCGTAGTACACCGATTGTTAATGGCGGCCATCGCAAAAGATAAGAAAATGGAAATTAAGGACAATTTGTTCAGCAACAAAGATCTTGAGGAATTATGCAGACATATCAACAACAGAAACCGAGTAAGACAGGATTTTAAGTTCTCTTACCCATCATCTCTTTCACTAGGGGAATATCAGCTTCATTTTGTAGTGGAATGAAGTACCATATATTCTAGCAAGTTAAATGCTAGCATTATTCTAACCAATGAAATAACATGAAAAATCGTAAAGTTTCTTACATAGCTCTCAATATATTTATAAACGAACGCTCTGAAGTAACAATGTGTGTTTAGGAGATTTAAGGATAGGTTAGATATTTTCCCCAAATATCTGAAAAATATTTGTATTAATAATTTTCTAGAATATAGCCTTTTTAGAGACATCTTTGCTGTGGGATTATAAATTCCATGTTTCACCTGGGAATGTCAACATGCTTTGGGTTATGCTTCTTCTTCCAGGCAGCACAGCATTCTCAGAAACAGTCCACTGAGCTCTTCCAGTGCATGTATTTTAAAGACAAAGACCCAGAAAATGAGGAGCGTTGCATATCTGATGGGGTCATATATTCAATTAGAACAAATGGTGTGCTTCTATTTATACCAAGGTATGTTACATCTAACACAATAGTTAAGAAATCATGTAGAATGCAAACAGTCCTTTAGTTATGATTAAAATAGCTATATGAACTATTTATAGGTACATGATATAATAGATGTACATGATGTAATAGAATAATGCACTACATAAGTATAAAGATTAGAATCTAGTACATCTGTTATCAGTGTGCAGATAGGATTTTATTTTCTTATTGAGCAAAATACTTCTCCACCTGCTCAGTGAAATATTTGGAGGTAAATGAGAGGAAAAGTTTTTAATCTAGAAGAGAAACTAACATTCTAGATTAAGTATATAAGATTTGTATACTAAGAATACATTATCTCTGGATTTTTACTCTGGCCATGATTCATTCAGGTTTGGGATTAAAGGTGCTGCTTACCTAAAAAATAAAGATGGTTTGGTGATCTTCTGCGGCCCAGATGGCCGTTCTGAATGGAAACCAGGATCCCTGCAGCGATTTCAAAACAAAATCACCTCTACCACAACAGGAGGGGAATCTGTTACGTTCCATTTGTTTGACCACGTAACAGTAAGTCCGTATCTACATTAAGCCTTGCTTTGAATGTAAAGTATAAAGAATGTGATCTGGTAATAAGCATCTTTCTCCTCTGTGATAGGTGAGAATATCTGTACAGGCCTCCCGCTGCCATTCTGATACAATCAGGCTCGAAATAATAAGCAACAAACCATACATGTCACCAGATACAGAACTATTTCATCAGAGCTCCCTCTTGCTAAAGAGTGATTTAGTGAAAGAAGTAACCAGATCTGTGGAGGAAGCTCAGCTTGCCCAAGAAGTCAAAGTAAACATCATCCAGGAAGATTATCAAAAATACTGCCAAACAAAGGGAAGAAGCCTGTACATGCTTCTAGAAGAGATAAGGGACCTAGCTCTTCTGGATGTTTCGAACAGTTATGGAATGTGAGATATTCTTCTTACTTCATTAAAAGAGCTGTTTTGTGAATGTTTTACCTTCTTTTTAACATTAACATCCAATGTTCTTTGTCACCTAATGTACTAGTTGACTGGAAATGGGTAGATCACAAATGCACAAAACGTTTTCTCATCATTATTAATTACAGCTTCGTTAAAGTGCAATTAGGTCACCGTGGAAACGGATTTTTCAGAAATGAACACATCGTGAATGGTGGCTCTGTAAGTCCGATTGCCAGTCTCTTTTTAATAAACCCAGCATTGATTTTTGATTAGCTTGTCTCAAATCCATTCTTTCAAAATAAGTTAATTTTCCTAGTAACTGCCACACTGGGCCATTTGGGTCATAGACCCCTCTGACATCTGTCAGGTTAACTTTCCGGTTGCCTTCAGATAAGACCTAGTTTAAATTAATGTTACAAAAAAAAAATTTAAAAATATAAATACATAAGGGCGCATGGGTGGCTCAGTCGGTTAAGCGTCTGACTTCAGTTTGGGTCATGATCTCAGTTCAGGAGCCGCGTACCAGGCTCTGTGCTGACAGCTCAGAGCCTGGAGCCTGCTTTGAATTCTATGTCTCCCTTTCTCTCTGCCCCTTCCCCACTTGAACTCTCTCTCTCCCTCAAAAAATAAACATTAAAACAAAATTTTTTTAGGGGTACCTGGGTGGCTCAGTTAAGTGGCCGACTCTTGGTTTCAGCTCAGGTCATGATCTCAGTTTGTGATACGGAGGAGCCCTGCATGGGGCTCTGCCCTTACAGCATGGGGCCTGCTTGGGATTCTCTCCTACACCTCTCTGTGCCCCTCCCCAGCTCATGCTCTCTCAAAATACATAAACTTAAAAAAAATAATCATAAACTTGGTTATCAACATGGTACCTTATCTGTAACTTACCCCTCTATCAAGCTGATAAACTCAGGCAGGAAAAACTCCAATTGGGTCTACCTACCATCTGGTCCTAACACTTGTAGCCTCATATTTGCCATGCCTCAGTCTTCCTTATTTTCTAGATTTTCATTTCTGTATCATTATTGGACATGTTCTTCTCAATCCTTGAACTCTCATCCACCAACTCAAAGGTGTCCTGTGAGTCCTCCCTAGGTGCTATGTGTTCCCCATGATACTTTGCAAGTTTCTCTCCCACCAGTTGTTAAGGTACCAAGGAGCACTGGAACTTCCCTAGCACCCACACAGGCCAGACAGTATGTCAGCCTTTCATGTGATGCTTTAAGTATTAAAGTGACTCCTCAAAATATGCATAAGCACATATAAAACTTTAAACATTTTACCAGAAGTGTACATTGCAGAACTAAACAGCAATGAGAAACTTTCATAAAGCCTTTAGAGGCAATTTGTAAGACTTCTATTTCTTTTTAAAAAAGACATTAATATTCATTATATATTTACATCTTAAAAACACCCAATTGTGTGAAAAGGAAACATTCAATGGCACACTAGCAGCAGAAGGTGCTTATTAACTCCTAATCGTTTTCATGTCATATCTATATAAACACTACAGGGAATAAATCAACTCAAATACGAAACGAGTATAATTATAATACCAGATTTTAAACAGGAATCTGTGAAAGTCTTACTACATGAGGATTTTCACACCAAGTAGACAAAATACACAGTAATCTAAAACTTAGAGGATAGCAAGTTAACAGCTTTTCTCTTAGTTGAGGGCTGTCCAACCTCAGTGACATTCCCAGATAAAGCATAAAGTTACCACTATACATTTTAAAAGGATTGGTCCAGTTGTGTTTTCTCTATTTTTAATTCCTCCTCTGCATTTACAACATTGGCAGCAGCATCACTGTGTGGACTGTCGAGAATGTCTTTGTCAAATCTGCTTGATGACTCCTCCTCTTGATCTTCCCCTGTATTAACCTCTTCAATGGTCTCTGCCCCGGGTATGCTCGCTAATGAGTCTGAAAGAGAAATTACTCCTTCTAAGCACCTGATCCAATCTTACCTGATAAATACAAATCTCTCCACAAACTTACATCAGTGGAAATGAAATCTATGATCATTTTCCTAAAAACAGCCATTTTTAGACATGTACAAAGTCCACTCAAAAATGCAAGTCTTGAACTCAAACCTTGAATCATAGCCAAATGCAACTATTTTCATTCAAAAATCATAACTACTAGACAATCGTTTTTAAAAATCAAATGCTCCTTGCAACTCTTGATCTTGGGGTTGAGTTCAAGCCTCAGGCTGGGTGTAGACATTAAAAATAAAATCTATTAAAAATAAATAAAAATAAAAACCAAATGCTCTAAACAGCTAAATGTCAAAGTGACCTCTAGCAAAGAAAATTTAGGATCCTTGTATCTATTTGGCCAAATTTTAAAGTCATATATTATAAATAGAAGATAAACCTTAAAATGCTTATTGCCAGGTATCTTTGATAATGACAGCAAGGAACTGCCATCAGTGATAGTTGTATCTTCATGTAATTTTTCACCTGGTAGGAATAAAATATCCATTTGTAAAGCTGAAGATTAAATTCATTTTAATTGGAAAGAATGATAATGTAGTGACATAAATTTTCACTTGAGAGTTTTATTATCTTAGGTGAAACTTGTTTTATAACATGATGCCTTCAATACTTAACTGTAATTCTTATTTTCCCATTTCAAAAGGAAAACTACATTGGAAACTGAAAAAGATATATGTGATCCTCCTTCGTGCATTCAAAACCAATTTTCATTATTTTTAAATATAGTTTTGACAAACTTGGTTGTCTAAGTTTCCAAACCCACAGTATATTTTAAAAACAGCAAATTTTGGGGCGCTTAGGTGGCTCAGTCAATAAGCGTCCAACTCTTGGTTTTGGCTCAGGTCATGATCTCACATTCCGTGAGTTCAAGCCCCGCATCGGGGTCCACACTGACAGTGCGGAGCCTGCTTGGGATTCTTTCTCTCCCTCTCTGCCCCTCCCCCACTCACTCTGTCTCTCTCAAAATAAACTTTTTTTTTTTAAACACTTATTTATTATTGAGAGGCAGAGAGAGACAGAGCAAGAGTATGGGATGGGCAGAGAGAGGGGGAGACACAGAATCCGAAGCAGGCTCCAGGCTCTGAGCTGTCTGCACAGAGCCAGACGCGGGGCTTGAACCCACAAACCGCAAGATCATGACCTGAGCCAAAGTCAGACGCTTAACCAATTGAGCCACCCAGGCCCCCTGCAAAATGAATAAACTTCAAAAAATAAATTAAATAAAAATAAAAAATAAAAACAGCAAAATTTAAGACAGTCTTAAAAAAGGGAATGCATCTGATAAGCAAACCGACAGCTAAGTGACAAAATGCAATAAAAAGCAATTAAGGACCTATTTAGGTCATAGCAAATGGCTCTGAATCCTCAAAGGGTACAGAAGGCATTTTGTATGTTTAGGAAGGTACCATAATAATTAACGTTCGTAATTATGACCCTACAGATAAAATATGTGTCACATGCCTTAAGGAGTCAGGGAAGAATATATTTTTGAAAGATTCAGAATCAAGTTTAAGTGATTAAAATAATTGTTCAAGAGGTACTCAGCTATCCAGAAAACCATCCTGGACTCCATTTATTCTTTGAAGATTCCAAATAGCTCTCACATACATACACACACGCATTGCCTCTCTCTCAGATATACATAAACTTAATATACTGTATCAGATTTTTCTATTCCTAGAGGTATTTTGGAGGTAGTAGAGAAGTTAAAATTTCTAACATGTCCCTGATATATTAATGGTAGCACATAAAACCCAGCATAAAATTTACCATTTCCGAGGGACTGACTATTACTCAGTAGCTTTGCCTGCCTTCTTTCCAAGGCCAGTTGTTTATTTCTCTCAATTCTCTGTTGTTCTTCTTCTGTGAGGCTTCTACTGGACTCAGAAGCAAACTTCTCACTTTCCAATGAGCTTGTCAAAAAGGGATCTGATTCGGTAGCAGCTACATCATGTACATTATTTTCTCTTACTTCATCTAGAGTAGAAATCACAGTTAGTACATCCATAGTTAGAAAAAGAGCTTATGCAGCTATTAGTTGAAAACCAGTTTAAAGTAACAAGATGCCAGATCTGAAGAAACAAATTTTTTTCTTCAAATTGTTCTGAGGTGTGAGAATGTTACAAATACAGATTACCCTTGAACAACATAGTAGTTAGGGGCGCCAATAGACAGCACAGTCAAAAATCCACATATAACTTTTGCCTCCCCCAAAACTTATCTGCTAATAGCCTACTGTTGAATACCAATAACATAAACAATTAACACATCTTGTCTATGTTATATGTATTACTCAATTTTTAAAGTAAGCTAGAGAAAAGACAATGTTATTAAAGGAAAGCATAAACAAGAGAAAATACATGTACAGTACTGAACCACAAAAATTCTGTAAGAGGAGGGAGCACCTGGGTGGCTCAGTCGTTACGGGTCTGACTCTTGGTTTCGGCTCAGGTCCTGATCTCACGATTCATGGGTTTGAGCCCTGCACTGGACTCTGCACTGACAGTGAGGAGCCTGCTTGGGATTTTCTCTCTCACTGCCCCTCCCTTGTTCGTGCTCACTCTCCCTCTCTCAACATAAATAAATAAACTTAAAAAAAGAAAAAAAGAAATATAAATCTTTACAACAAAAGAACAATAAATTTAAAAAAAAGAGACCTTTTAAAGTTTTTTTTTTTTTTCAACGTTTATTTATTTTTGGGACAGAGAGAGACAGAGCATGAACGGGGGAGGGGCAGAGAGAGAGGGAGACTCAGAATCGGAAACAGGCTCCAGGCTCTGAGCCATCAGCCCAGAGCCCGACGCGGGGCTCGAACTCACGGACCGCGAGATCGTGACCTGGCTGAAGTCGGACGCTTAACCGACTGCGCCACCCAGGCGCCCCAAAAAGAGACCTTTTAAATCAAATGGTAATACTAGTTTAAAAAAATGCAAGAAGACAAAGCAAAAGTTCTTAGTTATGATGAGAAAATATTTTCTGCTTGGGCTAATAAAAGAACTTAAAAGAATCCAAAGGATATTCTTGTTTTACATCCGACAAAAACAATTTAATAGCTTACTATAATGCCTGTATGATACACAGTAGTAATTTTATGTTGGCTAATTTTTTTTTTTTAATTTTTTTTTTCAACGTTTATTCATTTTTGGGACAGAGAGAGACAGAGCATGAACGGGCGAGGGGCAGAGAGAGAGGGAGACACAGAATCGGAAACAGGCTCCAGGCTCTGAGCCATCAGCCCAGAGCCCAACGCGGGGCTCGAACTCACGGACCGCGAGATCGTGACCTGGCTGAAGTTGGATGCTTAACCGACTGCGCCACCCAGGCGCCCCTGTTGGCTAATTTTTTAAAAATATTTATTTTGAGAGTGAGAGAGAGCATGTGTGTGAGGGAGGGGCAGATAGAGGGAGAGAGAGAATCCCAAGTAGGCTCCTCACTGTCCATGCAGAGCCCAACCTGGGACTGGATCCCACAAACCATGAAATCATGATCTGAATAGAAGTCAAGAGCTGGGCACTTAACCAACTGAGCCACCCAGGTGCCCCTAAGCTAATTTTTATTAGGGTAAATAAAACTCAGACACAAAGTGAAATGGGAGGGGTGCCTGGCTGGCTTAATAAGTGGAGTGTGTAACTCTTGATCTCAGGGTTGTGAGTTTGAGACCCACACTGGGTGTAGAGATTACTTAAAAATAAAATCTTTCAGGGGCACCTGGGTGGCTCACTCAGTTGGGCATCTGACTCCAGCTCAGGTCATGATCTCACAGCTCATGGGTTCAAACCCCATGTCGGGCTCTGTGCTGACAGCTCAG